TGCAGAAAGAAGGGAGGGAGGGAGGGAGGATATGGATGCCAATGTCTGCTTTTGCAAAACCAGCTTTTTGGTGTTGGTGTTCTGGGTAAAGGAGAGAAATCCACCACAGGCACCAAAGTAAAGGCTACGTTTTTCAGTACTACTACCGAGCAACGTTAGTTACTTACACCGCTGCAGCTAGAGAAACAACCTCCTAAGAAAGTATAAAACCTGATTGGCTTTCACAGACGCTCCCGCTGATTCTATAAATAGTCCCGCACTGTATATATGCGCGCAAGAGCAGCGGTACAAGAACAGCATGGCTAAGTAGCAGATAAGCAGGCAATTACAGCAGATAAAAGATGCCAGACTTCTCTTTCTTCTAAGCCAGGCCTCATCCCATTCACTTTTTTTGTTCAGGCTCTGAATGCCTGTTTTTTTCTACCCCACTCTCCCCTTTCATTCCCCAAACTCTCCCACATCTTTCCTTTTATTCTTTCTCCACTATTCTAGTAGGTCATTGCTGGGGGAAAAAAAAATACTACGCTTCTAGAAACTCTGAAAACAGCCCCGATTCTCCAATTTGGAACAACTAAAGAGAGGAAAGACAAGGTCCAGGCACCAATTTAAATGGCTTTTCTCTCGCAGGTCAGGAAAAAGAATATGCTACTTACGGACGTTAACTGGGAGCAGAATTTCCAAGAATTGCTAAGCAAGGTGATTGTTACGTCTGTTGTGCCCAATTTTATGACCTTTTTTTTTGGCCGTGGTTGCCCAATTTTATGACCTTTTTTTTGGGCCATGGTTATTTAAGGGAATCACTGCAGTTATTAAGTCGTTCTTGGTTTTATGTTAGGACTCTTCTCATGATTGTGGAAGTCAAAGTATGGGTATGTGTAACACGGAGAATATATGGTATTTTCCCTTCTTACATAAATTCTAGAAGCAGTGCAACACCACAGATACAAGTGCCATTCAGCAGACACAATAGCCACTTCTCAGAGTTGTTCAAACAAGCCATAGTTTAAACGATGAATTAATGCAACAAATACGTCCAACGAGGTGGTCAGAGTTTCAGAGAGCGATTGTTATGAATCTAAATTCCACTCCACTACTTACAGGTTGGTTCAAAGCTGAATATCTGTCCCTCTCGGTCTTCTTTAGCAGTGCAACTAGTCCTCAACTCACGGCCACAGTTGAGCCCAAATTTTTCGTTTGCCAAGTCAGACATTGGCTAAGTGAATTTTGCCCCATGCTTGATAAGTGAATCTGGCCTCCCCATCAACTTTGCTCATCAGAAGGTCGCAAAAGGGGATCACATGACTTCCCCCGGGGCGCTGCAACCGTCATAAATATGATGTCCTAGTTTCGACAGATGAAACTCGTCAAAGAACTTTGAGGCATCGTTTACCTTAAAGAATCTTTATTCAAGAAACATAACTTCGGTACTAACATAATCGAAGCCAAAAACTGAATTCCCCTCCCCTGAGTACATAGTATCAAAGCACAATTCCCTCCTCCAATTAACAGTCATAAATCACATTCTCCGATTAGTTTGAAATGCAGGCTTTCCCTCCAGTTCTCCAGCCTGCCAATTCTTATCATCTATTTCAATAACCTTGGTTCATACACTAGGTCCAGTATTGTTATGTCTAGCTAAACTCTCATGCACATTCCTCCCCCCAGCATCATCTAATGCTAAAACATAAGAAGAAAAAGGTTGCATCTCCATCTGTTGTCAAAGCAAAAACATCCGATGTTAGCAGCATTGACATATGAGTCAGTTCCCAAGTGGTGAATTTTGTTCACGTGACCCAGTGGGGATGCTGCAATGATTGTGTGAAAAATCATCATAAATCACTTTTTTCAATGCCGCTGTAACTTCGAATGGTCACTAAATGAACTGTTGTAAGTCCAGGACTTTCTGGGTCTTCTCTTCCTTGACCGTAAGGGCTGTAGAGTGATCTGAATTCAGACAGGAGAAGCTGATTCAGATAGCGGAAGAGCCTACCTGTTGTATCATCATCAATTCTAAAAAAAGTTTTCCTTTCCTTTCTTTTTCTTTGTGCTACACAATTCCAGGGAAAGGTGCATTGGATTGCAGGAGGTATGTTCAATTCCCCCACGTGTGTCTTTGCACGATTCAAATCGCCCCTCCTTCTTGAAAAGCGGATCACACCACGGTCTTATTTGACAGCCCCGAAATTACGACAGCTGTAAAGATGTGCTATATTATCTCCTACAGCTTCTATTCCTAGGCCAACAAATGTAATATGGCGATTACTTTAGCGCTAAAGTCATCCTGTCAGCGGTGAAAGCTTTGCTTCAGAGAGGCGGGGATAGAAACCTGAGTGATGTAGAGATGCAACTAATTTAATTGGATTCAATAAAACTGGCACTAGGTAAAAGTGCTTGAGAACAGGTCCTATCTACCTATCCAGCATATTGCAAGATCTATTTGATCTCAAAGGGGTTAGAAAAATAATTAAACTTACACACCAGTCTAAGGACTAAATACTTTTTACTTTAGGTTAAGATAAGCTTTGGGTGACCACCCAAATGTCGACAAATTACAGTTCTTAACAATATAAGCCAGCAGATCCAGTGGTAAAAGATCCTATTCCTATCAGTTGTAGTTCAGCAGTATTTAAAGAGCATCAGTGGCCCAGCTCTGTTTTAAACAGGCTCTTTAAAATCTGATTCCACACTAGATTACGTAGAACTACATTAAGCTAGTCTGTTTGACACGGAGGCTTATCTTTAGACTTCTGATGACTAGGGCTGATATTAAATGTTATAAGTCCAACATAAAACCTCTCTGTCAGGACCAAGAACGACATGAGGAGTTATTTCTGAGTAGTTCATAGATTGTTGTCATCCTAGAGACAGAATCTTGCCAGACTAAAGCAACCATCTGCAATATATATATATACTCTATAAATTGCTAGGGAGCGTTCAACATTGCTTTCTTCCAGCCTACATTCAAAGCTCCAGAGCCTCTTTGCTTTCTGGGAAGGAAGCCCTCCTTCCTGTGACTTCCGATTACATTCCACCATTCTCTCTCTGCAGCTTAGTTGAACTGAAGGCCCAATTAGAGGTTCAAGCCAGTGTTATTATTGTTGTATTGCTGATTAGGGTCTATTCCATGCCTCTCACGTTCTACACTGAGGCAAGCATTACAATGGTTGTGAAAATCCCTTTTTATATTGCGCTGCATCCCTCGCCTGCAGCCTCCACTCGGAACGCGCACAGCGTCAGCGAGTGGAAAATCTGGGAAATTAATTCCACTCGAAGCGGCATGGGCTTCCGTTCCATGATGGGTTCTCTGTGCCTCAAAGAAAACTGTCAAAAGACTCAAGGGAGCTACATTTTCTAGTCAAGAAAAAAAACCGGAAACGTGCAAAATTGCAAATATACGGGTAGCCTCTGACTTACGACCATCTGCTTAGTAACCATTTGAAGTTACAACGGCACTGAAAAAAGATGACTGACGACCGTCTTCCACATTTAATGACCGTTGCCGCACCTCCTTAGTCACGCGATCAAAATTCAGAGACTTTGGCCACTGGTTCGTATTTATGACAGTTGCAGAGTCCCGGGATCAAGTGATCCCCTTTTGTGACCTTCTGACAAGCAAAGTCAATGGGGGAGCCAGATTCACTTAACAACCCTGTTACTAATTTAATCACTGCTTGACAACTGTGGCAAAAAAGACCGTGAAATGGAGCAACAGTTCCTCAACAACTGTCTTCCTTACTGACAGATATTTGAGGTTGAAAGTCGAGGACTACCTCACTTTTCATCCTTATGGCACCCAACTGAAGGCCTGGGAGTTTGAGGGTTCTGCACAGCATCTTAATTGTTCCCATCACTGCATGTTCTGGACAGACAGCTCTGATGTCGTTCCTGGGATCTGTTGGACCACCTGTCCAAGCTCATGAGTCCCAGCCCTGAATGCTTCTACCACAATTGGGACCGCTTTGGTCTTGAGTCCAGGGGTCCATGCAGGCTCAGGAATTCTGGGAGTTGAAGTCCACGAGTCATAAAAGAACCAAGGTTGCCTACGCCTGGTCTTGACCCAAAGATGCTTTTTCAGGAGGCAACTGGACTTTCTTGTTTTCCTTTGAAGACGTTTTGCTTCTTGAACAGATTTCCAGAAAACGTTGCAGACTACAGGAACCATTTGCGCTTCAGTCTGAGAGGCAGACAACACAGACTCATCCCCAACAGCCTGCGCCCGTCTTCAACAGTGGAGGGACCCAGGGCAGAAAACATCCTGCAGCGAAGACAACTCCACACCTGTTTGCACCACTCAAGTGACCCTAAAGACATAGACAAATTTCCAAGTGGCCTCAACGACTCTTGGAAAGAAGGCAAATGACCAGCGGTCTGCAAGGGGTATAAATCCTTCCATTCCCCACCATCCAGTCAGAGCTGAAGAAGCTTCTCGGATGAGAAGCGAAATGTCTTCAAAGAAAAACAAGGAAGTCCAGTTGCCTCCTGAAAAAGCACCTTTGGGACAACCATGATGTGGAGGCCTGAGAACCTCCACAGACACACTGGTCTTGACTTTCCACATTCTCCCTAGTTCCTCCTTCAACTCCTGGTCCTTCTCCAGCTTCTCATACTCATTCCTGACATTGCTGTCCCTTGTCACCACTGTGTCTATCACCATCACTGCCTTCTGCTCCTTGTCTGCTACCACGATGGCTGGTTGGTTGGCTACTACCCATCTGTCTATCTGTCTATCCAGAGAGATCTTAGTTCTCTTGTTCTCCATGACCTTCTGTGGCAGCTCCCATCTGGAATGGGGAATGTCTTCTAACCTTTACACTGTGCAGATGTTCCTGTACACAAGCCTAGCTACTTAATTGTGCCAATACATCACATACATTAATACATACATATATACGTATTAATATTTATGGGGTTAGGACTGCTTAATCTCTGAACTCTATCCTCAATTGGGAAGCATTTAGCAAATAATTCCCCTGTCCCAAATTTCACAAAGCAGCCGGACTCAGTCAAAAACTACCCTAAAAAGCAGAATTGAAAAGGAATTCAGCCATCTGTGGGCAATTTTTAGAAGGACCCATTCAGGAACTTCCTGATCCACATACATTTTTATCCTGATGTTTTCTCTTGTTCAGTTGAAACAATCCAATACACTTTGCTGTTAATCAAATCCAATCATTTACTCTAATTGTTGTTAGTAAAGGAAGTCCGGCACCGTTTTGAAGTTTAAAAATGAGCATGTTCTTTGTTGAACATGACTATCTCAGGAGAAAAAGATACTGAATGTGGCTTCATTTATCTGTACAGGTAGTCCTCAACTTATGACAGTTCATTTAGTGACCGTTCATAGTTACATCGGCACTGAAAAAAGTGACTTAGGACCATGTTTCACACTTACAACCGTCGCAGCATTCCCCCAGGGCCACGTGATCAAAATTCGGATGCTTGGCAACTGGCATGTACTATTTTTTTTTTTTTAATTCAAAATTTTTAAAAGTTTTACAATATAACTCCCCTCCTCCCCAAAGCCCACCCTTCCCCATCCCCCTCCCTCCCCCCCCGACTTCCCAGAGCCACTCACAGGATTAACAATACAATAAATATACTCTGTCTTAGATTAGGTCACCATTAAATTAAATTAACAATTCTATAACATCCTTTAGCTCTCTTCTGAACAAACATATTAAACATTATTGTTACTAATTAAAAAGAAATAAACTACATTAACAGTCTAAAATTTACTCACAACTGGCATGTACTTATGACGGTTGCAGTGTCCCGGGATCATCTGATCCACTTTTGCGACCTGCCAAGCAAAGTCAATGGGGAAGCCAGATTCACTTAACAACCGGGTTACTAGCTTAACTACTGCAGTGATTCACTGAAGAACTTTGGCAAGAAAAGTCGCAAAATAAGGCAAAATCCACTTAATGTTTCACTTAACAACCAAAATTTTGGGCTCAATTGTGGCTGTAAGTCGAGGACTCCCTGTAGTGCAAATCTTGCATATAGCTATTCCTCGCTTAGCATCACTGTAGTAAAATCTGGGAGTACAGTAAAATTTTATATACTGGGCTGGGGGGAGTTAAGCTGCTCATTATGTGAAAATTGGCTAAGGAGGTAATAAGAATGTTTTATGGGAATGAGGAACTGTGAGGTTAATCAAAGTCCTCAAAGAGTAATCCTAGTTTAATGAGGTTTTGAAGCCCCATCTCTTTTATTCATTCATTTACCCTATAAAGAGGTATTTAAGGTATTTATTTGAGGACCGATTAAATTGAGTTTCTGTGATCAAATAATCTCAAACTCTAAACTACAGGCGTACGTTGCGTTGTGCCCAGTTCTATCTACTCTTTCAAATCACAACACAACTTAACATAATACACAATAAACGCTATTCTGGTAAATTTAAAACGGAGGTAACAACTGATGGCATGAAACCCTTGACTTTCACGTGAAGTATTAATACCACTTTACAAGGCCTTGGTAAGGCCACACTTGGAATACTGCATCCAGTTTTGGTCACCACGATGTAAAAAAGATGCTGAGACTCTAGAAAGAGTGCAGAGAAGAGCAACAAAGATGATTACGGGACTGGAGGCTAAAGCATATAAGGAAAGGCTGCTGGAATTGGGTATGTCTAGTTTAATGAAGAGAAGGACGAGGGGGAACATGATAGCAGTGTTCCAATATCTCAGGGGCTGCCCCAAAGAAGAGGGAGTCAAGCTATTCTCCAAGGCGCCTGAAGGCAGGACAAGAAGCAATGGTTGGAAACTAATCAAGGAGAGAAGCAACCTAGAACTAAGGAGAAACTTCCTGACAGTGAGAACAATTAACCAGTGGAACAACCTGCCTCCAGAAGCGGTGAATGCTCCAACACTGGAAGTTTTTAAGAAGAGACTGGACAGCCATTTGTCCGAAATGGTGTAGGGTTTCCTGCCTGAGCAGGGGGTTGGACTTGATGACCTCCAAGGTCTCTTCCAACTTTATTATTATTATGGATCATCGCACAGTCAGCTAGATGTTCAGACTGGATTTGGCATTTTGTCTACCTGTCGAGTCCTTTCCCAGGACCTGGGATAGGCAGATGTGGATGTTTGATGGTATTACAGACATCGTCGCAGGATGGAAGCAGTTCCTAGTAAGGCCGCGATGATCCATAATAATAATAAAGTTGTTGTTGTTGTTGTTGTTGTTGTTGTTGTTGTTATTATTATTATTATTATTATTATTATTATTATTATTATTTCGAAGATTTGAAAGTTCCAGACAGATGGAGATCTTTTTCAAGTGCTTTTTAGAACTGCAGTGGCATCTTCATCTGAGTTTACAGAATTTCAAAGTGATAACTTCGGGGATGTTAGTAGAAAGGATAAACGAAGCCTGCAGACCTGCGTCATTTGTGGATATGAAATAAAACCATGTTAAGCTTAATAGACCCTAAGTTTGGCGCGTGAAAATATACGTCACATTGTTATGTTTTGGAAAAGATGACCAGAGGAAACAACCATGCGTTTTCTACTCGCAATCAAATTTAGGGGAAGATGCTGTGCAAGCCAAGCGTGCAAAACATTGGTGGGATTCAGCCAGTTTGCACTGGTTCAGTAGAACCGGTAGCTAATTTTTTGTTGCCCAGGCCCAGAATGGACTTCTGGAAGTGGCATCCACACAGAGAACCGGTTGTTCACCTATTTGAATCCCACCACTGGTGCAAAACCTTTTCAAACTTGGAATTTTTCATTTGTTTTGACCTCAAAACAGACCATCAGAAATGATCATAACAGATTATTTCAACCTCATTTTAAAGATAATTTCACTTATCAACCTCTAGGATTCATTAAAGCTGATATAAAGCTGAAGCTTCTCTTGAGTTATAATGGTTTGCTAAGCTGTCATTCCTGGCTAAAAACAACAACACAGTTCTCTTCTTTAGAAAGTTCTCTTCTTCAGACAGTGAGTTAGTTTAAGTATTAGAAGTAACTAATTTACTTAAAATGAAATCATGGCCTGACATAGTGATTTATATATGCCTATATAGCTCACTTACATTTCCTAGCTGTCAACCTATTACATGCCACAATGATCAGAACCTATGGATCTGTTTCAGCTGGTGTTTTAAAAGTAGGTTTTTGAAAACGTAAAATTAAGTCAACATACATGCTTGCACATTCTTTGCATTTCTGAAAAGGGAATGCCCAGCTTAAAAGTTATCAAAATGCTGCAGTTTCCTTAACCATTTGATATTCATACTTAGATACTTGACAAAGTGGTGTTGCTAAATCTAAATAATAATTAAGCTCATCCTATCCACACTCGCTATAGGGTAACATCACTTTATCTTGATTCAGAAATTTGTGAGACAACTTTACTTGAACACCATAAGAGGTCAGCCTAACTCAAAATATAAATCCTGTCAGCAGCAATTTGTCTGCATCTTAAATTAAGGAATCAATATTTCAAAACCGCCTCTCGTTCTTAATTCCACATTTGACAAAATCATGGCAGCATTTCCAATTTCTATATGATGTCCAAAGTTCCAGCTGAGAAAAAATGTACGGGGGACCAGAAATGTTCTGCATATAACTGATTTTCCATATATGCCTATTTTCTCTCTCTCTCTTTGCATTTTTGCTACAGAAGTATAGAAGACAAATGTTACTACGCGGTGGCCAAGTTCCAGATAAAGAAGCTTTTAAAATAATTTGAGGTCTACAATAATTTTTTTTTAAAAAAAATAATAAATAAAAATAAACAGGAATAGTTCAATAAGGAACGTTTGGAGATGCAGCACAATTTGTGGCTTTGCAGGTTTTTTTTGCGTTCAGGCCGAGTCAAAGAGTTTGCTTTCATTGACAAAAGGTGATAAATGACTGGGGAAGGGTGCCCTTTGAAAGCTCAGCTCTTCGGAGCAAAACAGGAACACTGGTTCTTTCTTTTGCAAACACGAGAAAAGAAACGGGAAACCTTGTACGCTCACAAGCTTTTTAAAATTATTATTTGCAGCGCTCTCTTCTTCTCTGAAGCCTTTTTTCCCCTCTCCCCTGGGATGCTATATAGTACGATTACGATTCCAAAATAAAGGCGTCCCCTAAAATCTACTGAGCTGCCAATTGGAAAAAAAACAAGATGATTCTGTACAGCCAGAAAGAAGCTGCAGGGCTGTCTCTGAATTACATTTGACAGTAGTCAAATTTTGCACTGAAAACAGAAAAGAGTTTTTGAACCTTCCTACAGGCTAGGCTTAATCACTACCCAGACCCTGCGAAGAAGAGACTTTAGCTTTGCAGCCAGACACTCAGATGGGTATAAAAGAAATCAGTTTTATATATATATATATATTCCGAAATAGCCAGCTTTCTGGTATTAAATGCAAAATAAATAATGACTGTATATCAAGACCAGGTTTGGAAAATAGCTGTTGATGTGCCAGAATCTACTCACTATGTACTAGGACTATTGGGAAACATGCGTGATACAATTACAAATTTGGTGGGATTAAAAGGAATTTTGCGGGGGGGGGAGGAAGTTGCTACATTTTATTTGGAATATCATTACTGCATCTCATTTACAGATAATCCTCAGTTTGCAACCATTCCTTTAGTGACCGGTCAAAGTTGCAACGGCACTGAAAAAAAGCGACCCAGGACCGTTTTTCACACTTACGACCGTTGCAGCCTTCCCACGGTCACGAGATCAACATTCAGAGGCTTGGCAACTGGCATGGACTTATGACGGTTGCACTGTCCCAGAGTCAGGTGATCGCCA